TAAAAAGGCTTTTGTTCAGTAGTTATATCTTGCCAAAACCCCTCTGCATCAGAACCAATCCATATCCTTTTTATCTCAGGGAGGGTTATGTCTCTTTCCACCTGAATTCTAGCAAGAGCAGGTCTTGCCTTATTGAAAGTAGGAGCATCAACCTTGAGGGGAGTACCTAGTGCTCCCGCTATATTAAAAAGTGCTTTAAGCTTGGAGCTTCTAACAAGGTCCATTTTGGGATGACCCAACTGGAATTTTCCAACAAGAGTGAATCTGACTTCTTCATACAGTGAAGCAATTTCAGCTGCAGAGAAGTAGACTGCAGTTTCTCCATCTTTGAAGCCAAGAGGGTGAATGCAAGGGCAAATCCCTTTGCCAACAGCATTATGAAATTCCTGAGGGAAAATCAAATTTGTAGGATCTTGGAGAGTGTCATTAGCTCTTCCAACAATCCCTGCATAAGTAGCCTTAGTCCAACTGGAATCAGTGTGAACATCAATGGGGGTGGCCATAACACCAGCCACAAAGAAAAACCCAGAAACTTTTAAGTAGAGAAAAGGAAAGCAGGACAGAAATCAGGAGGCCAGTAGAAAAAACCAGAGAAGAGGAACACCAGCTCAATGAAACAGTAAAACAGAAGGGAGAAAAGAGAGTTTGTGAAAGCCAAGAGGAGAGGACCAAAAGGAAGACTCCCAAACCAGTGACAAGCCCAACACAACACATTACCAGCACCCACAGAGACCACCAGCAGCTTCATCTCCCCAGAAACCCTAGCAGAGCAAGCTCGCCAGCCGCCAGCTCCATTATATATATATATATATACATCTTTAAATGGAGTAGACAAATAAAATCCAAATTGCAAAATTTTATGAATAGTTTTATCATTTCCAAAATGACATCCAAATTCAGAATCATGACATTTTTGGATAATTTTCTGACTTTATTTGTAAGACACACATCGTTTCATTACTAAATCTTGCATTGTTTATATAAATATAGGTCATCCCAAAAATAAGATTTTGCATCATGAATGAATTTCTTTTTTTGTTGTTTTGTTAGTCCATATGGTAAAATACCACTAATAATATAATTTACAATATTAGCATACCAAGATATTTCCAATCCTTTTACAGCATAAACTTGTTCATAAAAAAAGTTTCATTAATTTCCTTTTTCATGTCAAGTATTTCTTCATGTTCTAACTTAGATAGATGATAAAAAATTTGATTATCAGTCCATTTCATATCAACTACTACAAAATCAAACTCTTGCATCATATGTATCCATATAATTAATCTTGGTTTTGCATCATTCTTTGCATCAAATATTTAATAGCCGAATGGTCAGTATGCACAACACATTTAGCTCTAAACGGATATGATATAAACTTATCACAAACATAAAAAAATGACTAATAACTCTCTTTCAGTGGTGATATAATTAATCTGAGAATCATTCAGAGTTTTACTAGCATATTATATTATTTTAAAAATTTTATCATATCTCTGCCCTAAAACAACTCCAATTGCATAATCACTAACATTACATATTAATTCAAAATGTTTCTCCCAATCATGTAAAATAATTATAAGAGCAGTGATCAATTTTTTCCTTTAAAGTTTCAAAGGCTAAAGTTTCAAAGGCTTTAAGACAATCTTGATTAAAATTAAATTTTGTATCATTTTCCAGAAGTTGCTATAAAAGTTTAGTAATTTTTAAAAAATCTTTAATATATTGCCAGTAAAATCCAGCATGTCCTAAAGAGCTTCTAACTCCTTTTACATTAGTAGGTGGAGGTAAGTTTGATATAACCTAATTTTTTGCAGGACCTGCTTTCATGCCACTTTCTAAAATTTTATGCCCAAGCACAATTCTTCCTGCAACCATAAAATGAAATTTTTCCTAGTTCAATACGAGATTAGTCTATTCACATCGTTCAAGAACTTTCTCTAAATGATTTAGATATATTTCAAAAGAAATTTCAAATACAGAAAAATCGACGATAAAGACTTCAATCCCTTTTTCAATTAAATCACTGAAAATTTAACATCATACATCTTTGAAATGTTGCACGTACATTACATAATCCAAAGGGCATTCGCCGAAAAACAAAAGTTTCATAAGGACTGGTAAATATTGTTTTCTCCTAATCCTCTGGAGTAATAAATATTTGATGATAACTGGTATATCCATCTAGAAAACAAAAATATTTGTGCCTAGCCAATTTATCCAACATCTGGTCAAAAAAGGGTAAAGGAAAATGATCATTCCTGGTGGCGGAATTTAATTTTCTATAATCATGCAGATTCACCATCCTATGACTTGACTTATCAGTATTAATTCATTATTTTCATTTGTCACTACAGTTCCTTCTTTCTTTGGTACAAAGATAATTGGACTTACCCAAACAGTGTCTGAAATATGATATATTATTCTAGCATCTAATCATTTTAAAATTTCTTTTTTAATAATTTCCTTCATCATAGAGTTTAATCTCCTTCGAGGATCAACTCTTGATTTATGTTGATCTTCCAATAAAATTCTATGCATACAAATCGAATGAATGATTACTTTAATATCAGATATTTTCTCTGAGAACTGTTTTTTGTTATTTATAAGTTGATTCTGAGGATAAATTTAGGTTTTAGGCAAATCACATCAGCATCGTGTCACGAACAAAAAGTCTCACATCAGCTAGGTGTTGTATCAAAAAATAGTATTTTAAGTTCTGAGCCACCCACTACCCCAAATAATTCTTTTTGGGAGAGGACAAGTGATATCTCTCTATGATTTAGTGGACCCTCGAGGAGGTGAGGAGTTGAGAAAAATGTCACGATATTTGACCGAAAACAGCGTGAGAGGTGATAGTCGGCTCTAAACCGCCGGGAAAACTAGCTAAATTTCTGTAGACGATGTTGTGAAGTTCCTGGTAGGGCTTTCCTCAGTGGCGAGAGGGCACCATGAGACGGCTACCAGTTGTACTCCTAGTCTCACTCTTCCTTTCTGTTTCTTTAGTCGCAGTCAACGGCGCCTCCGATTCGAAGGCGCAGAGCGAGAGGAAAAATAAGTTTCGGGAAAGACAGGCCAGCGATGACCTGCTCGCTTATCCAAACCTGTAAGATTGATTTTTTTTCTTTCATGGTAATGTATTGCATGCATGAATCTTTCCTGGGCAGGAGATTATAGGCGAACTGGCTAGATCACGAGAATCTGCCCTTTCTGCTGTCAAGAGAACAATTATCCCGTTTGAATTCTTGCTACGCAATTCCAAGTTTTTTGTTGTACTTTTTCAAAAAGGATGGTTGCTGTCATGCGCGACTGCCTGGATCATGGAATTTGTGCTGGCCAACTTACTGTTGGGCAGTCGATTGTCGATGACTCATGTCTATCCTCTTCACTGCCCACAGCTTGTAGTTCGATGAAATTTAAAAAATCAGAGGAAGTTCATTAGGCTATGTCTTGCAACGTGACCCTTACATATGTATAGAGGCTGTTTTTTTGAATGCGAGAATGATTTAGGCTGTCTTCAATTGTTTTATTTCCTGCTTCTTTTTTTTGCTGATATAATTATATATCTCTTACTTTTGATCCATCTTATATTTTGAAATGTCCTTGATAATTGGTAAGTTTGCCTGTATCTATAAGAATACAATAAATCTAAACATGCGTTGAAGTTAATATTGTTAAAATGAGACTTGAATATCTTGTCTATTGATGTGTTGTTTGTTTCATCTCAATAACTGGCTTAAGGAGGAAGCTACTTGGATGCTGATACAATTAATATTCTTGAAGTTCTACAGTGGCTTAAATAACAACCCGCTTGGCCAAGCAGGCAACTCCAATCTTATCATACTTGAAACTAATCAAACCTTGCCAAGCCAAATATGTGGTGATCATATATTTGAAATTTTAGGCCATCCTCCTCTTCAAGATGCATTAATCTAGGGTGCTTTCTGGCACGTCACCGATTGTTTAACCTTATGCTTTAGTAGAAAAGGCAATGGATCTGTTTACATCTCGAGATTGCCATTATTTCTTTTTGCCCCTAATTTAAGTATAATCCATAGAAGTGATTGAACAACGACAAGAACATGTATAGATACATCAAGTATCAAAATATTTCGTCCTCTATGTATTTGGGTTGGAGTAATTTTGTTTGAAATTGTGAACTTCATTAATTGATTTTCTATTTAAAAGAGGAGTGGATGAATTTTTGGAGCCTAGAAAATATTTTTGATGTGCATCTACGGGAATATGGAGCCATTTTAGAATATCCCTATTTAACTTATTGTCAAATATAAATTTAGTAGAAGTTTTGGAAGTGTGGGACAAACACAACTAATTTGAAGGAATAAGATGAAAAAGGGGAAGGCCAATACTAACATTGTTAGAAGCATTATAATGTAAGCATCAACTAAAGTTAATAAATAGGCACAACATATCCAAAGTTAAGCGGTTGTTTGGCGGGATGTTTTCAAAATAAATGTATCTTGGAAATGTAGATTAGTTGAAATGCTTGTATTTTAAAATTTTAGGTGTTTTGTGATTGGATATAGATTAAATACATTGTGATTTTTTTTTGTTTTTGCTGTGATACATTTTAAATGGATTAAAATATGGACAAGGAGGATGTGTTGGGCGCAACACAAGATATTGACATTGTTCTATTTGGGCTGTTTTCAAATGCATGGAAAAACTTATATTTTGAGGCACATCTTATCTCTTAAAAAATGGAATATAGTACCCTAGTAACGAAGCCAACAAACAACCTTTTGAATGAGTGGAGACTGTAGCTTAAGGCGAGTAAAGAGGGGAGGCAGTGTTACAGATATCCTAAAAGGGCACTATTACAAAAGCATTAACTTGTCGAGCATATTGACATATGATGCCTTGATTGGAAAGAAAAATGTTGATACTTCCCAGATATAATAAATGAGTTATTTTTTATTCAAAGCATTTTCTATGCACTGCTGTAGAATGAACATCAAGGGTTTAATAAATAATAATTCACTCCAGTAACAACTTAGATCAAACGTACCTACAAGTTCTTAAGTTCCAAAATGTAAACTTTTGATGATAAATAAGGTAAGTCTGAGGATACAAGGGGGAAGATGGATGATAATGATGGAGTGGACAAGATTTTTGCAATGATTAGGTTACGGTTATGCATTTTACAAGCTTAAATAGTTTTATGGGTCAATTTTTTTACATTTTTCCTTTTGATACTTTATTTAATTTTTTCTCTTTAGCTAGATTTTTGTAGTTTTTATGCAGCAAAACTTGAAATTTTTTGTTAATATAAATTACTGAGATGCTTACATTTTGTGCAGTTCAAAAGTATTTCTTATGACCACAATAGGTTTGTTAAGTGTGTAGCCATTTCTTTTTTATATTTTAGTTTTGTCAAGCTATTTCCGAGGAAGACACCTTCCTCTTAAGTTCTTTGGTTTGTGCAGCTGTTTGACTTGAGGGCAGCTGGTGCTATTGTAACATTTTAATTGATTATGCTGACATACACACCGTATACAAACTTGGACTAGAATGAATAAAAGAAGATTAAAAAATTTTGCCAAAATAGTCATATAATATTAATGACGGTGATGATGGTAACTTTTTTAGTATTTCTTGTGAATTTTGATAAAAAATGCTTTTTTTAGTATTTCTTGTGAATTTTGATAAAAAATGCTTTGTGTTAATCCAATTGGGGTTGCGAGTTTCTCAATTTCTCATTTTCCTAGGAGTGTGAATGCCAAATTCTATTTATAGGTTCGTTTGTTATCATTCATGAAGTGTTTTTTATATTGTCCTAATTAGAATTGATTGATCTTGCATTCTTTTTAGTAAATATTTATTTAATGCAAGAATTTTGATTAGTAAGGACTGGCGCCATATGACTTATTTTTTAAAGTTTAAGGATTAGCTATAAGCAATGTAGGAACATGTTTCGTCCATGTTTATTGGTGAGCTGGTGATTATTACCTTGATCTTCTTTGATGCGAGCATGAAGTCTTCTCAGTGAGGTCTGTTTATTGAAGGTGAATAAATCTTCTTGGGTTTAGTAGATTATAATGACATTTCACCCATGACGTTGAAGTTGTGAGCTTGTAGACTGGTGCTTAAATGTACATTTAAGAGATGCGCAATATATCTCATATTTAACATTTATATCGAGAAGGCGTGACATTGACAATTGCTAGGCTTAGGAATCTAGTTTGACCATGCTTCATGAGACTGGCTATGGATAGGCTTAGGCATGTAGTTTCGCCTTTGTTCTTGAAAGAGAGAATCATAATAAATGGAATGAACTAGTTTTGGGAATTTTTTTTGCTGCATGAATCATTTTCCAGTTGGATAAGTGGCCAATTAGAAGTCAAGCAAGTTGCAGCAGTGCAAGCTTGGCATTGCATGTGAGACGTAGTCATCTTTTATTCCCAGAAGTGTGAGGTAGATCCTTTCGGCATACTTATGCTGATGACATTAATCTTATGATAATGATTTTTTGTTCTTGATGTTAAGAGAGGTTCTTACAAATAGCATATATAGTCTGCTAAGCTTCATTTGGAGCAACCAAAATTTATTGGTTGGCATACTCAGATGCAATTATATTTTTGTTTTATTTAGCATGTTAAAGCTTTTAGACTTTCTCCTAGGAATTGGCTTTTGGCACTTATTCATGTCTTTTATCACTTGCAGAACTAAAAATTTGCCCGAGCAAACTTGTAATATTTGCAAATTTTTTGCTTATATTGTACCTTTGGTTATAATAATTATGTAGAAATTTTTGTGCTATTTTTTGCACATCTATTATTCTATTAAATGAAGGAAACTTGCTTTGTAATTTTTTTGATTCATTTTTTTTTTTGATTTTTTACTTTATAAAATTCATTATTCCTTAACGTTAGTAGATCTTGTTCATGGTCAGTGTGAAAATTTTACTAGCATCTAATATAGTTCTTTCATTTTTTTGAACAATGTGGTGAACTTTTCTCCAGTTTGTGGGGTCGTGCCCTCTGTGCTGCCCTGCTTGTCTCCTGCTTGGCTTCCTCCAATTTCAACAATTTTTTTTTTATTTTTTTTTGCAATTTGTGGCTTTAAAATTCTTTTCATTCAATTTGTGCTAAATTGTTTTTAATAACCTTTGCTAATACATTATTGCAGTGATGAGGATTCATTGTTAAACACCAAATGCCCACATAATTTGGAATTGAGATGGCAGACAGAAGTTTCATCCAGCATTTATGCCACTCCATTAATTGCTGATATTAACAGGTGAATTTGCTATTCTGCTATTGACTTACCCAGTGGATTATGCTGCTAACCATTCCGTGTTTTACCTAGTCTCTTTGAATGCTTCAATTCTAATCCCCATTTTTTTTGAAATATTTATAAACTTTGACATCCAACTTCGTTGCTTAATGGTACATTGACATGCATTATTTCTTCCTTCGGTTCCTCAGTGATGGGAAGCTCGAAGTAATTATACCATCTTTTGTTCATTACTTGGAGGTGCTAGAGGGGTCAGATGGAGACAAGTTGCCAGGTATGATTATATTTTCCTCATTTTCTTTATATTTCCTTGCATATGGATTTTGGAGGTGGCATGCATTTCTAGCAACAATGCAATACCTCGGGATGGACATTTAAAAGTGTAGGCTTATCTAAAGTGACGAGCATTATGAGTCTTATTGTTGTACTTTATTTTCAATTAGTTTCTTTTATGTAAAGTCTTCTAATGATGCCAAATCTTATTTGAATGGGATGTGTTATCTTATATTTTTATTATTTTGTTAACCCTAGTTCATAACATTAAATCATCATGTCTAGAGTTCTATTTCAACTCAACAATTTTGTAACAAAAGTTGGAAGGGTACCTGCTGCCATAGTTTAAAATTGTGTAATACATTGCAGCTGTTTAGGAGTGCCTCAGAGAGGCGATGCAAGATGCCTTTCCATAACCTTACATGTGTAATAAAAGGCTTACAACTCAACCCAATGAGGCAGGCCTTGAGCCATTTTGATAGAGTTGCACGTTTCTATTTAAGTTTTCTGATATGTTGTCCAGAGAATAAATAACAACCCAAAGCTCAAATAAACAAAGTTGCTTTTTTTATTTTAAAACAAAAGCCTAGTGTTACTCTATTAGACATCATAAACAAAACGCTTGATCATTAAAAAAAAGAAAAATAAAGATCAACAAAAGCCGTAATTTTATGAGGAAGATTTCAATTTTGACGTTTTATGAAAGTTAAGTGAATAAGGACGAAAAAGTGAACAAGGAAGTAGCAAAAATGTTAGTATAAAAATTTATGAAATATAAATTATAAATAGTCTACAATCATTGTTTTATATATTATTTTTATTAGATTTAATTAATCAGCGAAAAGAAATGTGATTGAGATAAGATGATGAAGAGAATTGGGAAGTTGTTGGTATATAATTGAGCATAAAGGGGGCTAGAAAGCAATCAATTGATGGAATTTGAATGAGTTTTGATTTTGCAGTGGTGAGTCATAACTAGTTTATCTTAAGGGTTGCTTATTTGTTTATGTTAGACTTCATTTGTATGTATACTTCTTTGTCATAATCTTTTAGGCTTCGTGTTTAATATTAAGCACTTGTATTATTTTTTACGATATTATGTAATGATTTGAAACTATTATTCAAATTATTTTTTAATATTTTTAATGTGTGATATTGATGGGATTGTTATTAGTAGAACTCAAGTTGGCTGGTTGAAGTAGAGGAATGCATTGGGCCTATTGTGTGATAGAAAAGTATGCCACATATACTTTGGAAAATTTTATAAGATGGTGGTGAGACCTGCGAAGCTTTATGATACAAAATGTTGGTCTATAAAAGAGAAGCATACAACTAAGTTAAGTGTGGCTAAGATGAGAATACTTAGGTGGATGAGTGGCTTTACACTTGGAGACAATGCGAAACGAATATTTCCGTGAAAGGGTTGGTGTTGCTCCAGTGGCAGAAAAGATTAGAGATAGTCGTCTTAGATGATTTGGTCTCATTGAACATTAACCATTTGATAATCCAATTAGGAGGGTGAATGTTTTAAATTTGACATATGTTAAAAAGGTAGAGTTAGACCTACGAAGACTTGGGCATGTTGTATAAAAATGACCTTGATTTAAGATTAAGTGAGAATATGCTACTTAATAGGACACAATGGAGAAAAAAGATTCATGTAGCCGAGCCCACTTATGGGATTAAGGCTTGTTGTTATATTTGTTGTTATTTTATTTTTAATTTGTTTAATAATTTTATTTTCAGGCTTATGCCTGAAAATGCATTGCGGCTTACATTTCATATCAAGAAAAATAAACAATTATATAAGTGATTGTACAAATTTAATCCTTGTGTTTGTTGCTGGTGGTTTATTCTGCCCTGCTACTCGCAAGGTCCTTCCCGCTTCTACATCCTTTTCTTTGTCATCCGTTGATCCTTGCACACTTCTTTGCTTCTTGCAATTCATCACCTTTATTTTCTGTTGTTGTCCCTATTGACTACTTTTGTTCATATTGCCCTACTTTTCACAATTATTTTCATTGTCATCTCTATCCACTAAACACATGGTGATACCTTTTCTTTTGTGCTAATTGTATTGATGGCCGCCTTTGTTTTATGCAATTCTTGGTTCTAATAGTTCTTTTTTTATGTTTCTACTTGCATACTGTGGTATTTATTGGCAGAGTAGGAGTTGGAACTCTGGAAATGAAGACTTTTTTATGGGAATTTTGATGTTGTTAGAATTTATGAATGATGTATTTATGTCTGCTATACTTGATTAGATTTTGTTAGATGATGTGAGATTTCCTATTTTGTTTTTTTGGCTTTAAATAGAATTCTCATACCATGAAATATTTATTTAACATGGAATAATGCAATGACAATTCAGGTTTTCCTTAATGCTTGTGTGTATATTTTCGTGTCTATATTCTTTGAGCATTTTATCGGCATCAACAACTACTTATAGTGGTGAGTCTCCTTGTATTGTTGCAAGATCTATATCTTTCATTGGGTGATTTTGATGTTTGTTCCAGATTATTGTATTTAGTTGCTGATTTGCGTGTGTGATTGTTAAATTTTTTTCATAAAATGAAAATAAAAATAAAGATTTAATTCCAGTGTATTAAAGATGAAAATATGGAATTGCTTTTCTTAGAGGAAGATATTCAATACAGATAAGTGAGATATTTTGATAAACGTTTTAATGAAGTTTCTGAACGCTAATAATTATAAAACAATTTACTTTTACCATTGCATTAGTCAAATGAAGTTGAGGCTTTAAAAAAAAACAAATGATGGAAAATCAGTAGGACCTGATAATGAGTGGAAATATCTAGGAGATTTGACAGTTTCCCGACTTACTAATTTCTTTAATAATATTTAAAAAAAATAAAAAGTTGCCTGAGGAGTGAGTGGATTGCCTGAGGAGTGGAGGAAGAGTATTTTGGTCTTCATTTTTAAGAATAAAGGGGATGCACAAGAGTGTGCAAATTATAGCGGAGATATGTTATAATTTAGATTATAGGAGAGGGTAATTGAGCATAAGCTAAGGCGTGCTAGAAAGATATCTCATAATCAGTTTGGATTTATGTCGAACAGGTCTACTATGGAAGCTATACATTTATCGAGAGATTTGACGGAGGATATACATATGATTTTTATTGATTTATAAAAATCTTACAATAAGTTTCTAAGGGAAGTTCTCTGGACAGTTTTAGAGATGAAATGTGTTGATATGATTTATATTCAAATCATTAATGATATGTATACTAGAGCTGTTATTTGTGTTCGAACATAAGGATGATTGACCAAGTATTTTTCTAATTCAGTTGGATTACATTAAGGACCGGCTTTAAGCTTACATCTTTTTGCTTTAGTTATGGATGCTCTTACTGGATGTTTACATGAGGATGTACCTTGGTGTATGCTTTTCACTTATGATAGATATTCTTCTTGCGGACAAGAATAAAGAAAAAATTTTGTAAAAACTTGAATTATGGAGGTCTACATTGGAGTCTAAAGGCCTTCATTTGAGTAGGTCTTTAATTGATTACATAAAATGTAAATTTAATAGTAGTAGCTTTAGCGGCAGAGTTGTAATTATGGGTAATCAAATCATTGAACGTTTTAGATATCTCGAGGCTATTGTTCAAAGTGATGGTAATATAGATGATGTTGTTATTAGTAGAATTCAAGTTGGTTGAAATGGAGGAATGTATCGGGCCTATTGTGTAATAGAAAAATACCATGTAGACTAAAAGGAAACTTTTATAAGATGGTAAACCGGCAGTGTTGTGTGGCATAGAATGTTGGCCTTTAAAAAGAAGCATAAAATAAAGTTAAGTGTTGCTAAGATGAGAATGCTTAGGTGGATGAGTGGCTTGACACTTGGAGACAAAAAGCGAAATAAATTTATGCGTAATAGGGTTGGTGTAGCTTCAGTTGCGGACATGATTAGAGAAAGTCGTTTTTCATGGTTTGGTCACATTAAACGTCAACCATCTGATGATCCAATTAGGAGAGTAGATGTTTTAGATTCGACTTATGTTATAATCGACTTATGTTATAACTTATGTTATAAAAGGCAGAGGTAGACCTAGAAAGACTTGGGCATATTGTATAAAATCTGACCTTAATGTATTTATTAGAATTAAATGAAAATGTCTCAGTAGGACCCTATGTAGAAAAGGAATCATTTAGCTGACCCCACTTAGTGGGATAAAGGCTTCTTGTTGTTTTTGTTGTGTGATGTGAACTCGAACATTGCTGAAGTTATACGTTTGTTCATTTTTTTCTTGTACTATTTAGATTTTGAAGGCCATTAAATTACTGCTTGGAATGAAAAAAAGTATGCTCGTTGTTTCTATACATGAAAGCTGAATGAATTTGTTGAAGTAGACCTAGAAAGACTTGGGCATATTGTATAAAAACTGATATTAATGTATTTATTAGAATTAAATGAAAATGTGAGTCTCAATAGGACCCTATGTAGAAAAGGAATCATGTAGTTGACCCCACTTAGTGGGATAAAGGCTTCTTGTTGTTTTTGTTGTGTGATGTGAACTCGAACATTGCTGAAGTTATACGTTTGTTCATTTTTTTCTTGTACTATTTAGATTTTGAAGGCCATTAAATTACTGCTTGGAATGAAAAAAGGTATGCTCATTGTTTCTGTACATGAAAGTTGAATGAATTTGCTAAAGTTAATGTTTTATAAACAAATTTTGATATTTATGTGCTTTCATTGTGCATTTCTTCCTAGAGTGCATCTGCAACTTTGGTCCCTTAACTATCCTATGTCAAATTGGTATATTATTTTACGTTGTTAGCAATAATCTAGTCAGAAGTGAGACCAACTATTAGGGTAAATTAATGGATCAACATAAGCTGATGTTGTATGTCAAAATGAACTGAGGGAGTTTTTAGCAAATTCAACTAAACATGTAATAAATCAAATTAATGAGCAACTTGACGTAATGGAAACTAATGAAATACACTATAAGAACCAGATAATGAATT